ATTATCACAGGAATATTTCCTCTTGTCCTTATGATTTACTATCTTTATTTTAGGTGGCGTTTGAATTGTTGCGAAGGTAGTAACTACTTTAGGTGATGAAAACATGCGTGATACCATATGATCGTGATGTTTAGACCTTAAATTAAAATGTAGGAAAGGCATAAGTAAATACAATAACAAAACTGATTAATGGTCAACCAGGAGTTAGCCCCTACTACTGTAGTTTATGTATAGCACTGCAGTGCAGTAGGAAAGAGGAGGCATATCCTAGGTCTTTTCTAAAAAGTATGCCTCTAGAGTAGGATGAATAAGAAGAGACCTGTGACTTGTTAATTAGTTAGGATTGCCCTAGTATAATGTACTAATAATAATACTAGGGCTTAGCATATTATGCCATGGTATCTTAGCTAGCGAGTTATTATTACTTTAATACTTATAACTATAATGTGCACAGCATAGACTGGATCTTAGGCATAGGCCTAGCCTAGGCTAGCCTGGTTTCTTACCCAAGCCATATTATACCTAGGACCCGACCTTAGTTAGCCTATAATACATAACTCTATTGAACGTTTATTAGCCAGGCTTAACCTTCAACTGTAGGCAATGGTGTATATTTTATTAGAACAAAGTTAATGAATGTGTTTAGGCCTAGGCCTAATAAATAGCTACCAAAAGTCCAGTAAGATTGCGGCAAAAGAGTCGTCGTTCTTCACTCGTAGTGTAGTCTTCAGCTCTTGCCACCTTTCATACGATGAAGAAAGAGATATTCTTCTGCTATTTCTCAATTTTTGCTGGTTAAATCTTCTTTTATTCCTTTCAAATTGAGGGAGGCAAGGCCTGCCCCTTCTCTTTCTTGAGTTCGTCAAAGACATAATGTAATAAAATGGCTAGCATCCACTAATTTTGTTTTACGAGACGTTCGACGCTGTTTATTTACGTATGTAAATTACTTGTCGTCTGCATGTATTGATGATGGCGTTTTCCCCGTTGACCGGACCATGGTTACTGAAAATTACAGAGACGTATCACAAAATCAAAGGATTAAAACTAATCCGCGTCAATTTTTTGTGTGGAACACAAAAATTCAAAATTCAGCCTTATTTTGCATATTTTTCGTGTTTAGGAATGTTTATATTCAGTTCACTAGCAGTTTCGTATTATATTTATAAATCTTTCTAACATATATAAACATCAGATTTTTCATGAAAAATGAAATTTTGCCGGGAATGGGGCTTTAAGCAGTGAAATCGCAAAAATTTACCACCATTTTTGATGTCAAACATAGACATGCCATGTGTTTTAATTTTTTGTAACTTCGCAATAATTTGTTTCAAATTAATTAACATCACGATGATGCTAGGCCTATTGTTTAGGGCACACTTCACTAATTAATCTAATGAATTGCATCAATTGTCAATGGCATCTATTCAGTAAATAGATAGATAACTGCATGTTACTTAAAAATTCATATCTCCTAAAACAAAGCGGTCTATGTGGATTATTTCTTGGGAGAAATATACAATATCTATACCACTGGGTTAAAAAAAATAAAACTATTTCAGACTCAGAAAAATTAAAATGGGGGAACTATATGTAGGCCATATGTGACATAATAAATTGCAACTTTTTGCACAATTTGAGAATTAAAATTCTAATTATAATTTACAATACAGTAATATGAATTCTATATGTAATTGATGAGTGTATAAGTCACTAAATTGTATTTTAACATTATAATAATGATCTATGGTAACTTGGTGAGTCGGAGGAAATGATGGAAGATACGATTCAATCTGCTTTCATTGAATTGCATCAACACTTTCTGGGCTTAGAAGTCATATTTTCCTTTTTATGATCGATTTTTAAGGATGACATATTATGATTTTCATTTTTTTAAAACTCAGTGGTATAAATTTATTTTTTATGACTTTCTCCAAATATAATCTACATAGGCCACCTTTCTAGAAGATATGAATTTTTAAGTAACATGCAGTCATGAAATCTGCCAAAACCCTATGTTACTTTTGGATACGCTTCACTGGGCTGCACTGTTTGTCATCAACTGAATGTCTACCCCAGCATGTAAAAGGCCAATTAGCACTTTCTTAAAGATAGTTACGTGATAATGGTACATAATCCAACAAAATATATCAGATTTGAATGCCCAATTTAGTTATAAATAATTTTAGTTTTAGTAATTTAGTTATTAGTTGTTTTAATTATATTTTAAAATGAAAACTTAGGCTTTAGGTTGACAGGTTTTAGACTACATTTGCATAAAAATGAATTTAAATTCCATGAAAGTAAATTTTCCAAGTCAAGGGTATACACGCTAAATTGGTGCTGTTCTGCCAAACCCGAAATGTGTTGTAAGTTGACATTCCAAGCAATAATACTAAATTATATATAGTTGTTGTTGTAGTACAAGAGCTTTTTAGTCACCAATTAATTAAAATACTGTACATACCTTCAAATTCAGAAGAAATTTCTATTTCATCCAACTTTTTGTTTTTAAAGTCAAAGGTCCTGCCTTTCTCAAGGGCTAGAAGTATTCTACCAACTTTCACCACTTGTGTAGTCTCTTCTGGCAATCTGTAATAATTTCGATGAACATTTATGTCATGGCCCATAAATGTTGCTAAAATGTCCAATTCATTGTTTTGAAGATTAAAAACTTGTGAAAACGTTGCTATGTGTTTTCGCAATCTTGTAGCCGTTAGATTTTGTGGTTTATTTACTCCACATTCCAAAGCAAATTTGTGGATGCATACACTACTACGAATAGGACGATTTGATGGTGCTGGTACTGCAAACAGGAATTTGTTGTCCTTGCTTATATCAACATTGGTTCTTGTTACAATTAGCAATTGTATGCTACCAAATATAGCTTCAGGAATTAGGATTGGGACTTTTCGTCCCTGTTTGCCCATTATTTCAAGTCTTTTCAGCTTCTTACAGAGACATTTTTCCCATTTGGACAAACTTTTCAAAATATCTTTGCTTGATTCAGAATGTACATTTGCCCAATCTTCAATTCCTATCCGTTCTGCTTCTCCACTACGCTTTCTATTAAACAGAATCAACTGGCAGAGAGTGACTTTGGCAAGAGTATACCAAGCATCTGTGTCAGACTTGCAGGCTTCTAGTTTCTCAGAGCATTCTTTTGATTTTTTTTTCAAGAAGACATTGAGAGCTACAACATCTTCTAGTGGTAGCATTATGGGCTTGTTCCATTTTTGCTTATAGAGGGTGGACCGAGCATGGTTGGAGACTTCATCTGGCCACTCTATTTCACAGAGGTTTTCAAAGGCCTCACATTGCTCTTGTGTGGCAACATCTCTGGATTTAAGGGCAATTGCCCTTTTTATACTACAGCACCTTTTCAGTGAGTGCCCAAGCTTTATAGCTAATGATGGTATCTTATATTTGTTTTTTGCAAAGAGTCAAATCCTGCAAGTTTTCTTACTGACTCTGTAACAGCATTAAAATTTTGTGGGCATATTGCATCGTTGAGATACATATTTTTATTCACATGTACTTCTCTAAGTTCTAAAACTAATCGCCCGAGTTCTCTCATCTTTTGAGAACAATATTGAAATTGGTGATACTCGGTAAACTTTGAAAAAAGTCTCTTACCATAGTTCAGGATCAACATATCATTTCTTATCAAAAGCAAAATTCTGTCCACATTCATCTTGTTAAGTATGTTTTCTTGGAATTCACTACTAATGGCTGGTCCTACGGTTGCAAGAATTAATGAGCATTTACCTTGTATTCGTCCACCTTTAGCTACCTTTCCTTTTACAGCCAAAGCAGGGCACGACTTTTGGTGTTTCCATATTTCATTTCGTTTGTAGTAAGCAAGGCAATTACAACATGGCAGGTATTCTGTTGGTGTTGTCTTATAAATCGTCCTCTTTCCTGGAATCAGAAACCCTTTGCCACTTTTTAGCACTTCACTGTTGTGAACATGATTTCCTTTATTTTTTAGTAGTCCCCACATCATTGATCTTTTTGCTGATTTTTTTGCAGTGACAAAATTTGTGCAACCTCAATCTCTGAGCTGTGTTTTCTTTCAAAGTGTCGTGGAAGCTTTGCATTTTGCATATTGCAATACACACAGAAATTATGGCGATCCCATATCCTTTTTGAAGAAGTATTCCTGGATGTCAAAACATAAATGTTGTCCTCTGTTTCACAATTATTCAATTCTGTTAAATGAAAAAGAAAAAAATAGTTGGTCTTCGTCTTGGCCTGAAATATCTATGTGCATAAAAGACAAAATAAAATAAGTTTGCTTACTGGTATACAAATATGACTTTTCATGATGGGATTAGTAAAATCTTGTTTCTAGGCAATTCTAAAACCCTAGAGGCAATAGATCTTTCTGTTTCTGTTATCTAAAGCAGTCAATATTTGTTTTACCAGTTAAGTTTGCGACTTAGCGAATTCCAGATATTATTATTTATTAAGTTACAATTTGCAAAAATACAATAGTTTGAGGACCGGTCCTTAAGAAAGTGTGTGTAAACACTGTGTACTTTGTTATTTTATTAAGACAATAGTTTGAGGACCGGCCCTCAAGAAAGTATGTGTAAACATGTGTAAACACTGTGTAATTTATGTTATTGTAAGACAATAGTTTGAGGACCGGTCCTCAAGAAAGTGTGTGTAAACACCATACTGTATGTTAGTATTTGTATGCAGACAATGAAATGAGGACCGGTCCTAAAAAAACTGTGTAAATATTATATATAATAATTTTGGTACCGGTGGAATTATGGACAGTAAACACCCCGATACAACCAAATATGCTAACACGAAGGGAAACAATGGTAATCAACAGACAGTTTATCACCAAGTTACATCCAACTTCCCGAATTTACTCTACTTTTTAATGTCTGCGAATACCTCACACAGAAAACAATATGAGAAGACAACTTGAAATGATACTATTTAAGAGACACTAATCATTGAGTCATAATGAAAGTCTAGGGTGAAATTAATTAAATCGGAAAAAAAAAAAAAAATTATTTTGGTCTTGGTGGAATTATGAATGTTAAACACCCTGATACAACCAAATATGCAAATACAAAGGGAAACATCTTTCATCTTTAATCTTTTTTGCAAAAAAAAAAAGATAAAAGAATAACAAATATATATATCAAGCAACAAGGAATAAAAAGATGGCAATAGGAGGTTAAAATAATAGATTTCTCTAATAAGGTTTAACCCACATCACAATGAATATGGTTATAACCAGGGCATCTCCCTGATTATAACATTATATCACATCTAATAATAAATAATATAGTAATAGGCCTAGGGGTCCATAATTATCAACATTTTCGAAAGAGTACAAAACATACCCTTTTTAGTAACCATAACTCCCCTCCCCCAAAGAGTACAAATTATTGCTATGAAAGAGAATTTGATATTTACATTTGTAATTGTCAAGGAATAATGCATTTTTAATACTATGTCAGTATTTAAAATTAAAAGCTATGGAAGAGAATTTGATGGCAAAAATTCTGAACTGCTAAACTGGAATAATACACTTAACTACAGTATTCAGATAAAGACAAAATATTTCTTTATTGCTATGGCAGAGAATTTGTAACTGTCAAGGAATAATACATTTTTCCATACTATGTCAGTATTCAAAATTAAAAGCTATGGATAGAATTTGATATTGTAAAGGCAAACAATCTGAATTGGTAACTTGGAATAATACACTTAACTACAGAATTCAGACAAGCAAAATAAATTTTGTTATTACTATGGAAGAGAATTTGATATTTACATTTGTAACTGTCTAGGAATAATGCATTTTTCCATACTATGTCAGTATTCAAAATTAAACGCAATGGAATAGAATTTGATATTGTAATGGCAAACAATCTGAATTGATAACTTGGAATAATACACTTAACTACAGAATTCAGACAAGCAAAATAAATTTTGTTATTGCTATTGAAGAGAATTTGATATTTACATTTGTGATTGTCAAGGAATACTGCATTTTTCCATACTATGTCGGTATTCAAAATTAAACGCAATGGAATAGAATTTGATAGTGTAATGGCAAACAATCTGAATTGATAACTTGGAATAATACACTTAACTACAGAATTCAGACAAGCAAAATAAATTTCGTTATTTCTATGGAAGAGGATTTGATATTACATTTGTGATTGTCAAGGAATAATGCATTTTTCCATACTATGTCAGTATTCAAAATTAAAAGCTATGGAATAGAATTTGATAGTGTAATTGTAATGGCAAACAATCTGAATTGATAACTTGGAATGATACACTTAACTACAGAATTCAGACAAGCAAAATAAATTTTGTTATTACTATGGAAGAGAATTTGATATTTACATTTGTGATTGTCAAGGAATACTGCATTTTTCCATACTATGTCGGTATTCAAAATTAAACGCAATGGAATAGAATTTGATAGTGTAATGGCAAACAATCTGAATTGATAACTTGGAATAATACACTTAACTACAGAATTCAGACAAGCAAAATAAATTTTGTTATTACTATGGAAGAGAATTTGATATTTACATTTGTAACTGTCAAGGAATAATGCATTTTCCATAGTATGTCAGTATTCAAATTTAAAAGCTATGGAATACAATTTGATAGTGTAATTGTAACGGCAAACAATCTGAATTGCTAACTTGGAATAATACACTTAACTACAGCATTCAGACAAACAAAATAAATTTTGTTATTACTATGGAAGAGAATTTGATATTTACATTTGTAACTGTCAAGAGCATTTTCCATACTATGTCAGTATTCAAATTTAAAAGCTATGGAATAGAATTTGATAGTGTAATTGTAAAGGCAAACAATCTGAATTGCTAACATGGAATAATACATTTAACTACAGAATTCAGACAAGCAAAATAAATTTTGTTATTACTATGGAAGAGAATTTGATATTTACATTTGTGATTGTCAAGGAATAATGCATTTTTCCATACTATGTTAATTTTTAAATGACCCTAGTCATTGAGTCATAATGTAAGTCTAGAAAGAAATTAGTTAACTCGGGAAAAAATAATAATTTTGTACTTTTATTAAGACAATAGTTTGAGGACTGGTCCTTAAAAAAGTGTGTAAATTAAGTGGAAAACATTCTTCAAAAATGAACCAATGTTGCACATTTTTTGTGTGAAATAATATACCACTTTCTAGTTGTTGACTACTTGTATACATCAATTAACTAAATTATGTGCTTTTTTCAAGTGAGTCTATTAATTTTTCCCTAGTGAAATTTGGAATAGTTTTTCAGAGTACATGGATGTGAACCAAATTATTTAGTAAAACCACCAACTTTAAGTTCAAACTAAGAGTTGATGAGGTAACTAAGTAGAGTTGATCCATTAGTGCTAATATTTGTTTAATATATAAATATTAAATATAATATTATATAACTTATTTGAAAAAAAAAACCAAAAATAATATATGTGTAAATATTATTAAATATAATACTATATATCTTGTTTGGAAAAAAAAAAGTGAAACAAGTTTTTACTTTTTTAAACCAAATTTAAGAACCCTAGTAGGTAGCCTTTAAATGGCAGATATTTTTCTGCATTAAGAAAATTAAACACATTTTAAACAAAAATATACCAATACCTTAGCTTTTTTTTTTTGAGTTGAGAACCCTGCAATATTACATAAATAGGCCTAAGAGTTCTGTAATCATAGTTGTTTTTTTTAAAAATGATTGTCAATTAACTTATCAAATGTATCGAATGGTCAATTTCCGGCAATCTAGGGGTGTAATTTTTCATTTTTTTCTCACCCGACCAGGGGCCCTGAGATGCCAAGTTGCACATCGTTTTACAATGCAGGCTGACATTTATGTTCATTGCTTGAAACTCATGTAGTTTCTCGCTAATGTCCACTTTTTTGAAAAAAAAAATTTTTACATTTTAAAAATTTCTTTTTAATGAAACCTAGATTTGTTGCATCATTGTACTTTGTCATTATATTTTTTTGCTACTTTCTTGTGCTTTCAAAACAGTACATGAGACCTTCGCTTCTGATCCTATGTTCATTCAAAAGGCTAAGCCCTGAAATATTTTGGGGAGATATCGTAATGAAGTGATTCTATATATATAAAAGAAAAAAAAGGATTTTCATTAGACTATTAAAAAAGACTGTAGTTAGTTGAGCCAGTGTTACAAAGTAAAATGTGTGGTGTTGAAAAAAGTGTCAGTGTCAAAAAATGAACAGTTTTCAATATTGAAAAGTGTCTGGGCAGATTTGTTATCGTATGGCACATCGCTGTGCTTTATTTGTATTACATGGCGTGTTAATTGATGCATACAAATAGTCGGCAACTAAAACGTGGTATATATTGTGACTCAAAAAAATGGTCCACATTCACAAGAAACATTGGTTTATTTTTGAAAAATTGTTTCCACTTAACGTAGTTTAGGAATAATGGGTGTACATGTTTACATTTCAATTATATAATATGATAATTAGTAATAAGTATGATATACCTCCATGGTATGATATATCTGAATGGTTTACTATAATTTAGATCGCACCGTCTGCACCCCAGCGTTTACACACACTTTCTTTAGAACTGGTCCTCAAACTATTGTATTTATTATAATTAATTAACAGTACACAGTGTTTACACATACTTTTTTAAAGACCAGTCCTCAAGCTATTGTCTTAATAAGGTACACAGTGCTTACACACACTTTCTTGTGGACCGGTCCTCAAACTATTATATTTAGGCCTATACAAATTATAATATACAGTATGCCTATTATTACATTATTGTTATATAATTTATTATAACAAGTGATAAATTGTTATAACCACTGTGAAGAGGGCTGAACTTGATTAGAGAAATCTGAAATCTATTATTTTAATTTTTGATCCTTGATGATATATATATATATATATATATATATATATATATATATAT